AGGTCCCAGATTGATTGATTGATTGAAAATATGTTTACCCCACCTTTCTCCTTAAAAAGACTCAAGTTGACTTACGACAATTAAAAGACAATATTTAAAAGCTAAAAATTGTAAGCATGCAAATATTAAAAAAGGAATTAAACATGCCAAAACAGTAAATAAAATCAATACTAAAAGCACAACACAGGACAACAATTCATTTTTTGAAAAACAAACCTAATCTGGCAGCCAGTCATCAAGGGAAAACCGGCTTAATGGGAAAGGTCTTTGCCTGCTTGTAGAAGGAGAACAAAGATGGGGCCAGGCTGGCCTCCAGTGAGAGGGAGTTCCAGAGTCTCTGAGAGCAGCCACAGAGAAGGCCCCTCTCCAGGGTCCTCAGTCCAGGGGGCGGCACTGAGAGAAAGGCCTCCCCTGAAAATACAGAAGGGCCCGCATTTTGCTATAGGATTGTAGGTTTCACTCCTTAAAGGATTTCCCCAGATGCATGAGATACCCAACCCCTGATGCCATTATATCACTGACTCTTGCCTCCAGGCCTTAGCTCATTGTCTCCTTGTAATGCAGACCTTGCATGGTGAAACACGTTGGATTCTGAAGCAACTTTGGGGACGACCCCAGAGAATTAATACCCCAGAATCTCAGGGTCTCTTCTGCATGTTGCCCCACCTACTGCCATGTAAGTCTGAGATGGAGGAAGGGCTCCAGATTCATTCCCTTCCATCTAAGCACATCTCAAACTCTTTTAAAATCTGTATTCTTCTTGTCCCATTGACTATATATCATATACAAGCAGGGCAGGGCATAATTCTAGCACTTTTCTTGAAAAAGAACCCCACTAAACTCTATGGGGTGGAAGTTCCAGTAAATCTCTAGAGATCTGCATTGTAACTGTATCCATTATGGTGTGAGTGTGTGCACAGGCATGTGTGTACAGTATGTTTACACACACACACACACACACACACACACACACAGGTGTGTGCCCAGGCATGTGTGTATGTTTACACACACACACACACACACACACACACACACAAACAGAGTGTGGAAGGAAGAGCTAACCCACTGGCTGCTGGCTCCATCAATTCCTCCAAGGTTTGACAGCCGGTTTGGTAAACATGCCAGCAAGGTTAATTAAATGAGGCAGGTTGATGGAGGTGGGGGTATGGGGTGGAAGAAGAGGAAATGAAGCCAATCCCTCCCCCTCCCCAAAAATCAGTAAATACATGGCTGAGCTTCAGTGTAAACATCAAACTACAACAAATCCCGGAATCCCCAACGACTGGCCTCGCTGTCTGGGGATTCTGGGAGCTGTAGTCCAGCAATGTCGACAGAGCCAAGATAGCTGATGACTGGATTAGAGTTTACACATGGATTGAAAGAGATCCTCTTTCCATGTGCAGAGTACAGTACTTCTCCAGAATTAGAAGGAAGGGCTTTCTGGAACAAGGAGAGCAAGATCATCATCTCCATAAATCAGAATTGACTGACAGCCCATGGTTATGTGATAGGGTGCATCTGAACCCCGACTAGAGACCCTGTCTCTCTCTACCATACCGACCCTGTATAAACGTGCAAACTCTTCTCTGAAGAAGTTTTAAAAAACCCCTTTGCAACCAGGATTATGCATCATGTGAATGGCTGGCCCAGCTTTTTTTTTTCCTCTGGAAGGCCTAGCACAGAATTCTAGACTCCATGAACTATATATATTATCTACAAGTTTAGAAACACGTTAATTACATATCCACAAAATGGCACAATTCTCTTTCTGCATTAATATTTCATGCTTAATCACAGAACTGCTGCCATTACAACCACAGGCGGTGAAATGTTAAAAATTTCTCCCCTTTAGAAATAAGCATTTATATACCAGGGAATAAATAGTCCCAGTGGCAGCTGATCCTTCTGCTTCCCAGTCCCCCCGTCTCTTGCTCTGCCTCTCTGCTTTTGATTTTCCCTAGCAACAGACCAATGCACTGGCAGAAATCTCAGCAATTTTTCTGCACACCCCCTTTTCTGTTGTCTAAAGAAGAGTTTTAGTGGAAAATTCAGTGGGAGACAATTACTGTATATTCCATTTGATAAGAACCCATGTTTGGAAGGCTTGTATGTTTAATCCAAGGATCTCTGTTAAGAGAAATGTGTAATTTCTCGTCTTACAACATTTTCCCTCGAGAGACTTAATTCTTTCAAAGATGCATGCCTGAGTGACCAGAGTTGAAAATAAAGCCCATGTTTACCTTCAAATGGCCAGTCTCTCTCTCTCTCTCTCTCACACACTAAAATAAAGGCCATGTTTACCTTCACATGGCCAGTCTCTCTCTCACACACAAACAAACACAAACCAGAAAAACCTAATTTGCCATATACAGAATGAGCTCATTATACAGAGTGAACTCGTAGGATAAGCAAGTACTGTATGTTTTAACCTCTGAAGGGCAGCTTCATTCCAAATGATATTGTCACATTTGATCACTAGTCTTTGTATCAGATCCCAGAGAAGTTACTTTGGTGGAGTTACAACACTCAGAATTTTCCAGCCTAAACAAACAATCTAATTTGCCATATACAGAATGAGCTCATTATACAGAGTGAACTCGTAGGATAAGCAAGTACTGTATGTTTTAACCTCTGAAGGGCAGCTTCATTCCAAATGATATTGTCACATTTGATCACTAGTCTTTGTATCAGATCCCAGAGAAGTTACTTTGGTGGAGTTACAACACTCAGAATTTTCCAGCCTAAACAGTGATAGACACACTTCATTGCTGCTGAGACTTAAGACAATTTCATTTATTCCAGAGTTGTCTGGTGATGATCTATCTCTCCAGGCACATAGATACACATCCACAGGCATAGATACCTAATAATATTATGAGATGTTTGAATGCTGTGGGACTACAACTTCCACGATACTTCATGACTGGCCACTCTGGGTGGGGCTGATGGGACCCATAGGCAAAAGCATTCCCAAAGTTTCACACCCGTGGCCTAGACCAATGTTATTTTACTGGGGCTGGCACACTCTGTGGTCGTTAGTTACATGAGCTAGCTACAATGACATTCTGCTTTTCCTGTAAGGAGTTCAAGGTGGCACACCTACCTCTTGTCTTCCATACGACAACCCTGCAAGGTGGGTCAGAACAAGAGACATTCACCGGCCCAAATTCATCTCGAGATTTTCACGGCTCACCAGAGAGTAATACTTGGGATTTCTCACATCCTGAATCAACTGCCTACGATTACACCCTGTTATCCTGGCTGGTGTGCGGTTCTTATTTCACTGCTTCTCTTTCAGCCTGTACGAGGTGAACTTAGCCAACAGCTCCTTAGCGCAGGCCTGTGGCACGCTTGCAAGTACAGTGTGGCTCTATTAGAAAGGGGAGCAAACAGAGGTGGTGGGTGTTAGCTGTTTATTCCCAGGCATACTCTGAATGATGATACACTGCCCCTGTACAGGGAGGATCCACTGACCTCTGCTTAAAGAAAAGAGGAACAGGTGGTCGTTACAAGAGAGGCAGAGTTCAGATCAGTTCCTTGCCTGGGACAAAGTGATGAGCCCCTTAATGAACTTTTCCAAGTTCTGCCAAGATGCTTAAAGAATGAGTCGTCCTGAATGGGTCACAGGGGTTGTCCTCATGTGTCAGGGAGTTCCGACGTCCCTCCAACCCTTGTCCTTCTTGCAAGCGAGAAAACAAGATTCGGAGCAAAGGTGATCTTTTAGCAGCTCCTTGAGTTTTATAAAATCCGGCACGGGTGCCCATGGGCTCAACTCAACATCATCCTCCCCTACTTTTAGGGATCAGTTTCCTTCTCTTTGCTACACAGCCCCTCTTCCCCCCCCCGGGGGGGGGTTGAAATCCGGGGTGGGCAATGCGTCACAATGCAAGGGGAGAGATGGGGGAGGGGGTCCCAATGAGCCTCTTTCCCCAAAACGAGACGTGGCACAAACGTCTCGGAGAGAAACCAGGGGGAAAGGACCCCGCCCTGCTCCCCATCCTCTGCCTTCCAGGAGACGACCAGCTTCTTTCCTCTGCCCGAAGCGCGCCCTGCCCTGGCTTTCTCGCTTGCCTCTCCCCCCTACACACACATTTTTTGGCAACAAACGCCGCGAGACAGATCCCCAGGAAAGGGGGTGCACGATCGAGGCTCCAGACGCGATTGGAGCAGAAGGGGGCCTTGCCTGGATGGAGAGAAGAGGGACGCAACCCCTACCCCCCCACACCACTCCGGTGGATCCTGCGCCCCTGTTTGCGCCAATCGGATCCACTGCAAAGCGACGGAGCGAGAGGGTTTTTCTTTCACAAAACCTGGGGAGGGGAAGGGGGGGGGTTCACATGCAGGCTCCTCCCACATTTTTTTCACGCCCCCCTATCCATTAATAAAAATGGCAGAGGAACCGACTCTCCTCACCCCACCCCTCTCGTCCTCCTCCTCCAGCCCCACTGAAACCTCCCAGCTCAGCCTCTCTGGCCTCACCAAAAAAAGAACCCCCCCACCCCCGGACCTTTGCATGGAAAAAAAAAAAAACAACGAAGCAAGAAGGAAATGCAAGAAACAAATTCATTTTGCAGGACGCTCTCGCTTTCTGCTCCCCCAATAGACCCATAGAGCTCTTTAGATGGATGCCCCCCCCCGGTATTCCAGGGGGCTTTACTCTCAGGGAAGAGCACACAGGATCGCAGCCTCCTCCGACCCCGGTATCTTTAAAAAGCCCCCACGGAGGAGGGGGAAAGGAGGGAGAATAGCAGGGGGTCCCCCCTCCCACTTTAACCCTTGCAAGCTTCTCACGGAAGGTCCTTTGCTCTCGGAAAAGACCTCTCCGCGCGCCATCCAGAACACCCAGTCTCTCCCCCCCCCAAAAAAAATCCGCTCTCCTCCGCCTCAGCTACTCCGGATCGGTTCCGGATCGCAGCTCGCGGGGCGAAGAGGAGAGGAAAGCAACGGGCTAGAGGGAAGGATGCTCCCCGCGCTCCGGACAAGGAGTTGGGCTCGCTCACCAGCTGGTCCTCCGGAGCCGATCCCTCCCGGCCGAGGCCAATGCCGGCGCCTCCAGCCTCGCCCTCCCCGGGCTTGGTCGGGGACTCGAGGGCCATCTGGAGCGCTTGCCGGACGCGGCGCTCCTGGCGATCCCGCAGCAGATGGAGCTCGCACAAGCCGGCCAGGGTGCCTTCCAGCCAGCCCCGGAGCCGGCTCCGCTCGGGGCTGACGGGGAACGAGAACGCCCGGATCATCTTGCGCGCCCGCTGCCGCCCGAACGGCGCCTGCAGCAACGCCCGCTCCGGATTCGCGCCGCGCCGCGCAAGAAGGATCGGTCGCGCTGCGCTGCGCTGCGCTCCGGCCGCCGCAGCTCCCGGCGCTGTCACCGCTTCATCTGCATAAAGGTTCTCATTGGCTCGGCCTGCCGGGGCTGATTTGCATAGCCGCGCTGCCATTGCTCACTCCGTCCGCACCAGCCACACCTCCCGTTCGAACCATTGGACCCTCAACCCGCGCTCCTGTTTTGCATAATCTCTTTCCCGAAGTCGCCATTGGCTCCTTCGGCCTCGCTTTATTTACAAAGCCGCGCCCCCTACCGGCTCGACGGGTACTTCTTGGTGAAGCTTCTCTTACGAGGCCACGCCCACCAGAAGAAACGAGGCCCTACCTGGGCGGCTTGATTTGCATGGCCACGCCCTGGAATCAAACCATTGGCTGTCCTCCCTTGGTTTCTGCCTGTCTGACCCCACCTTTCAGCCGAGCCATTGGCCCACCGAGGAAAGAAGTCTGCATGTAGCCCCGCCTCAAAATCAAGGCATTGACTCACCTGCTGCGGTTTATTTGCATAAACCACCCCCCCTCTGCAATAGAAGCGGACGGCCTTTGCGTGATTTGCATGCTCAAGGAGTTGATACAGACCATTGGTTGTCCCTCGCACTCAATTTGCATAGCCCGTCAGGCCACTGTTTCATTGGCTCGCTGGCCTTCCATTTACCTGAATGACCGCACCTTTGATTGAAGAGCCGTGACGCGCAAGATTTATGTGCTCGTAACGTCTGAATGAAGTGCATTGAAGTCAATTTCTCGTGAAGGGCTATTCTCTCTCCGTTTAGCACATCGGCTGGCTTGAAAGCCCTTTGTCTCACGCCCTGATTCACTCACTCACTGATGAATATCGTTGAGGAATTTAATAGGTATGTCCCGGCTGTCCGTCCCCTGCCCACCCGTGTTCTCCGCCTGCTTATTAAGAAAACCCTGAACCCTACCACCCAAACCTGGGGTCTGGGACCTGCTTCACACGGGCTAGAATGCCCCTGCTGATTTACACTGGCGTAAGGGACAGCGTGGCAGTCTGCAAGCTGCGGCTATTCAGGAGGTGCAGGGTGCGTTCCTGGGTCGTGGAGATGCCTCCGGAGACGCCACCAGCGCCCCCTTAATGAGCGTCTCTTTGCTATCCATTCAGGTCCCGCTGAGCCGATTAAAACAGGGTACATGTAAATTTGCACTTTTTGTGCCTTCGCACATATTTTCATACTGCTTGAAAACCTGGTTTTATATTTTCACTGCATACATTATTTACCTTGAAGAAAGTGCTCCAGGCGGCTCCCATTCTGATTTTTATTGCACCGCTACCAGAAAGCCGGGGAAGAGCAAGCTGCAGATTGGAACTTAGTATAACATTTGTCTGTAGACAATTACTGCGAAGCTAATTAAATAGGTAGAGGCAGACAATGGGCTGCCTGAAGGAGAACGTCAAACGTGCTCCCTAACCCTGGCCGTGCCAAGATAGTCAAGTTTCTACGGCTGCATTCAGCGAAGGGATTTTGGAATACAGTATGAGGTAGGAAATGGCACAGGGCTTCTTCGAATCCCCAGCAATAAAAATACAAATGCAAATTAAATAATTATCTACACTTTTCTTCTGTGGCCTCAGGCGGCTACTTAATGGTAGAGCATGCCTCATGAAATAATATCAGCATTCCTTCACAAGGGATCTGTTCATCCCAGGTAGTTATTTCTGGAAAAAAGTCATCAGGGAAACAAGAACAGGTTGACACTCAGGATAATTCCAGAGAGAGAGAAAAAAATTAACTGTTGGCTTCTATTTTAACACCTTCCTGTTTGGTGTCACATCATTTCTTCTGTATTCTCTAAACTGGGGGTGGTGGTAGAATTAGTAAGGTGGTGGTGTCTTTCAATTGGAAACATTTCCACCCTAGTGACCAGAGGGTAGAAATGTTTCCTTTTCTTTTTTGGATTATTTATTTATTTATTTACTTATTTCACATATATCCTGCCCAATTTAGTGGGACGTCTAGTCTGCGGGGGGTGGGTGGGGTGGGGTCATTGCAGTATAATTTACACCCTAGTCCCCACCCAGCATTCACCAACAATCATAAATAGACAACACACCACGCTGAATTCATAAAATAAAAAAAGGAAACAAACCATATAAAACTAAGTGACTACAACTTCCAATATCCCCCAGACAGCATGGTCGGCTAGAGGATTCTGGGATCTGTGGTTAAAAAAAAAGAAAGAGCAAAATTTCTGCGGCGTGGTGGTCCTGGCACATCCTCTTTTGGATAACACACAACCTTGTCAAGCTGCTTGCGGCCGACTGTGGGAAAACTTTGCCTCAGTCTCGTCGCATGGGTCTGAATCAAACTGACCTTGTAGGACATGGGGAGAATAATTCGGCAAGCACAATCTAGAACTGCACCGTTGCTTGAGAAAGGTGTTCTGGCCGCACAAAGGCCGTGTGACCTCCCACACAACCTGTTCTGCTTGACCTGCTCCCCAGTTTTGGTGGACATCAGGTTCTGCAGTGGCCTTCCGGAGGATGAAATTATTTTAGAGCTCAGAGGATGGTCAGCGAGCCGAGCAAAACCTCCTAAAAAAATTCACAGCTGCACAGGGGATGGTTTCGCAGTGGCCTGTGAGGAAAGGGGGGGGCAGCTGGCGGAAGTGACAGTGACGAGGAAGGCTAGCAACAATGGTTTATAAATGGTTGTGATAATAATAGTGCGAGGATGGTAGCCATGGTGATGGGGGGGAAGATGGTAGCCATGACAATGGAAGGAGGGGGTGGCAGCCGGCAGCCGGTGAGGACAATGAGAAACAGCAGCTTTGGCCTTGGTGGGGTGGGCTGGGGGGGGTTGGAGAGAAGGAAAAGAAAGCAAACAGTGAGCGGCAGGACCAGGGTCACTTCAGCGACCTGTGCTCCAAAATCCACTTCTCTGAATACTAAGACTTTGATAGGGCTGCCCATAGTGTCAACGGTCAAGGTTGGAGTCTTCTGTTTGCTTTGAGGAGGGATGAAAATGTGCCCCCCCCCGTTAATCACTGTTGGTGGGGTGTCCCCAATGAAGCTGAGGGCTGTTCTCAGAGCCAGGTTTGCACTGCGCAGGGCAAATCTCTACTCGAAACACTCGCACCAACAGCCTGTCCTTAGAAACCCAGAAATCCGTTCGTGTCTGAGAGACGCGATTCAGGCAGACCTTCTTGAATGAGCCCTCAGACTTGCAAATGCCTTTGAACAGAGCTGAATTGCTAGATCGCTGAATGTTTTCAGCGTTTCTAGCTGTGGAGCCGGAGGTTAGGAGTTCCGATTCCCCCACTGGGCCCCCTTGACAGGGGCTTGTCTTAATGATCCATAATCTGCAGTTCTAAAATGATGATGCCACGCAAAAGACGCGTGGAGTCCTTTCCTCATAAAAGGAGTCATTGCACAAAACTGGCAATGATGTGCGGCATCGAGCAGCAGCAGATCAAGGGAGTGTGTGTGTGTGTGTCAGTTTTGGAAATTAAACTGTCTTAAGTGTTGGAATTCAGCAGTGACAGCTTTCTGCAATGAACTGCCTAACTGTTTGGCTCAGTACAGCTTCCTTCAACACAGGCACGCCGAGAAGATGGATGTGTTTACATGTGTCACCTTGTACATTTTTAAAAGCAGGGCTCAAAAAGAAGTGTGGACAGAAGACCTGCAAGGATTACTGTCTGCGTGGTTGCTATTGGCACCGGTTGCATGAGACAACGCGCAAGTAGCTCCATTGCTGCCTCTGGAACCCTTCCAAAAGATATTTGCAAACCACCACGGCCGATGCAGAAACCGAACAGCTTTGCTGAAAATCAGCCAAAAGACTTCAGGGCCTCTTTAAAACGAGCAAGCTTCATATGGCATAAGCTTTTCTGGACTGCATGCCTCCGTTGCATGTCACAAAGTGAGCCTCGACTCACAAAAGCTTGTTATCAAATAGATCCCACAGTTTTCAGGGTGCTGTAACACTATGGCGCAGCTGATCCCAGTTGGGTCTCCCGCTGTACATGTCAGGGCTTCATCCTGCTCAATCCTAGGATTTGTCGGCTGGCCACAGGGAAGATTGTGTTGCAGCTATTCAAGGGGTATGAAACTGCTGCAGTTTTGTGCTATGGACATATTCTGTTAGCAGCTCACCATGCTACAAATCCCAAGATTTGAAAAGACGGAGCTGTAAGAGCTAGAGCTGTATCACAATGCTGTCCTGCAGATACAGTTGCTGGATCATCTGCTTGCAACCTAGTTTATGTACAAGCAGGTCAAATGCCGGAACTCCTTAGAACTGCTGAGGGAACTAAGACCACCTTCATGGCCCAAATTATCCTCCAGACATCATGCCAGCATAAGGGAAACGGCACAACCAAAGGACTGCAGTGAATTAGACTGCCACTAATTAAAGGGTCCCCACTTTGATTCTGGATTGTGCATGAAGCAACGTGACAAAGAGGAATCAGACTAGGGACTGATTAGTGGCAATCTTCTACTACAGGTTACAACCTTCTTTTAAGCCAGCATAATTTAAGTAAGAACATTTAAACAAACAGCAGGGGGTGGGAATGGACAAATGCCATGGCATTAAGTTTTCTGGGCACTTCATGATTTCAACTGCACCCCAAAACTTTACAAGCAAATTACGTTCTTGAGCTGAGCCATTATTTCATGCAACCACTTCCAGGAGTCGTAGAAATGTGATTTCCACAGAGATAGCTAAATCCAGCACAATTCTCTTCTACTCTTATCCCAGATGTTCTGGACTACAACTCCCATGCTCCTAGATAGTGAAACGCTGGGGATGAAAGGAACCGTGATCCATTGCAAAGGAGGGTATCAAATTGGGGGACACCCACACCAAGCGTCAAGTCCTCATTAGCCTTCTGAACTCTGTCCCAGCCGTTCCCTGAGTCCTCCTACAATGACCACTCCTTCAAAAGAGGCAGACAGAAAGACTTCCAATATTATGATCATTATTACGTTAAAAAAAGAAACCACATGCATATTCACAAAAAACAGCCACCTTTTCCCACTGGGTTCCCTTTTTTCCATGTCGGTTGAGGGATTCTGGCCGTTACCAATCTTTTTGACGCCAAGACGTTGACCCAAAGACTTCCAGTCAACGGCAGCTTCGGGGAAGAAAAGGCCACTGTGTTTATTGCACAAGGAACTAGTCTTCTGAGCTGCGGTTCAGCTTTGGAGTTTTAACTTTTTAAACAGACACGGAGCCAAAATGCTGGTGGCGAAGGTGGGGGAGGGAGGATAGGAGTGGGGGGGGAAGCAAAGGTTTGGATGTAGAGAGCGAGCCGTTGGCCACGGAGTCTGATTGTCCCCAGAGGTACCTCTTTAAGTAGCCAGTACTGTAATCTGGTTTTGTTTTTGTTTTTTTGCTTCAGTTAGACACGGACTATTAAATCTCCTCCCCCGTCCCCACAAAGCTCCCAGGTCGGAGACTCCGCAGGCAAGCTCACACCCCTCCATGGAAGGGGATACAACAACACACAAGCTTATTGTAAGCAGACTTGCAAGGTACGGTTGATGGATTAAAAAAGTCGCTGGGGGCACCTCCCGCCTTCTTCCACCGTGGGTCCGAATGCTGTCCGGAAGACCCTCGGCTTCTTCAGCAGATGCTTATCCAGGGCCCTTTCACGCCATTAAATCTGAGCCTTTCCGGATCGCCACCATCCTTTGCTAAGTGGGGGGTTTTCAATGGGAAAACAAGAGTACAAGTTCAGGGCAATTGTGTTCTCCTTTGACACTGCTAGCAGAGACCGCTGCTGCCTCACATCCAAAGGAGGGTCACCCAGAGAGGAGGGCATCCCCGGAGGCACCTGAAAGTCGAGGCTGCCCGGCTGCCCATCATCCAGCCTTCCTCCAAGCCTCCGGTCACAGCACGCTGACTCTCTCGGTCAAGCCCTTCATCTCCGATTCCCGCTGCTCGTCCTCCTCTCTCTCCTCCTCTTCGTCTTCCTCTTCCAGCCGCCGAACCCGCAGATGGTCCGGGTAAGGCAGGCTGTGCTCAGCGGCAAACTGCTCCCACCGGGCGTCGTCGCTTTCGTGGGTGATATAGCGCTCGCCCATCCTGCTTTCCAGCTCCCGAAGATCAAGCCATGTTTGGTAATCCTAGACATGTGGATTCAGAGGAAAGGAACGGGAAAGGAGGGGTTACGAGACGCTGCGGAGGATGCCACGTCTTCTCCAACCTGGAACCCACTGGAGAGAACAGACAACAACTCCCAGAATCCCCAGTCAGTCTAGGCAGCGAGGTTTGTGCACCCTGAAAACCAGGCCCTGCTCTTCCCCAGCCTTGGTGGGCAGGAGGAATCCAACCGGTCCCCCTTCTGCCAGACCCGCAACGCACCTGCAGCCAAGCGTGGCTGAGCGATTTATCGACACTGTAGCGTTTCCTCATCTTCACCTGGAGGAGGTTGTTGATCAGGTCGATGGCTGGGAGGGGAGAAAAGAAGAAAGGCCTAGGGTCACCGCAAAGCACCACAACCCCATTTGGCCCCTGGTGTTACGCCAGCCCAACACACATCCGCCCGTGGGCCAACATTCGGAACAACCAGACATGGACTTGGTAGAGGAGCAGTGATTCAGCAAAGGGGATTCGGGACCTTTCTCTCTGATCCGTCAAGTGCCGAACTGACCGGGGGGGAAACCCTGGCTCCTCTCGTTCTCATGAAGGAGAAGGAAAAACCACAAGCCCGTTCTCCTCGCCTATGAGATATATCCTGGTGGTCTTAACAAGAGCTTTCTTATTTGTCAGAATAATTTTTGTGCAAAATGATGGCAGCTGCTGACTTGTTCCATGGGCTTTTAAGAATCAGAGGCCTTGGATGGTTTGTTTGTGTCTTTTGGAAGCATAAGCCACTCCTCCTGTGCTTGCTTGCTGTCTGTAGGCTTTGCCTCTCAAAAACAAAAGACACTGGTTTTTGTGCAGTCACATTTGTGCACAAATTGCAGAGAAGCTGATGAGGATGGGGGGGGGAAGAGTCCCTTATTTCCCTCTTGCGCTGGTTTCAGAGAGTTTGACAATTCTTTCTTGAGATGTTTTGTCATATCAAGACAGCCTAAAACTACACAAAAATGTTACATAAGGCAACCCACAAGCGGTTCTTAGCCATGTTGGTCAGAGAATGGCCAGACAACCAAAGGAATACAAAAACTGCGCAATTGCTCTTGCGCCAACACATAAGGCACCCTGATTCTGGCTCAGTGGGTGATGATGACACAATAAATCCTGAAATGTTGTACATCTCCTGAACAAAGAGGAAAGGAAGTCAAATTGACCGGCCCCTCATCTTTTGGGTGGTAGTGAGGCAGGTGGGCCTCCCAGGTCGACACTGGACTAGAACTCCCATCAGCCCCAACTCTCAGTGAAGGATGATGGGACTGGGAAGTGTGACAACTTCGGGGACAACCATATGTTCCCCATGTCTGGATCACAGGCAGGAAAGATGGAGTGATGGGACTGCATTGAATTAGACTGCTACTAATTAAAGAGTCCCCGCTGTGAATCTGGATTGTGCATGAAGCAACCTGACTAACACACAAAGAGGAATCAAACTGGGGACTCTTTAATTAATGGCAATTTTCTACTTCAAGTTACAACCTCTCCCCGCCCCTCCAAGGCCAAAGGCATTCTGCCGCCAACTACCTCCAACTGAGATCTGGCGCCACGGATTAGGCGGATACATGAAGGCGGCGTTCTGGATCTGGTCGTTGATGTCCTCGTCCTCGTTAAACGGGAAGGTGCCACTCAGGCTGACGTACATGATGACTCCGACGGACCACATGTCCAGAGAGCGGTTGTAGCCCTGATTGAGCAGCACCTCGGGCGCCAGGTAGGCCGGGGTGCCGACCACGGAGCGGCGGAAGGACTTCTCCCCAATGATCCGAGCAAAGCCGAAGTCGCACAGCTTCACCTAAGAAGCGGAGAGGGGGGAAGAGAAATCAGGGCACTTAGCATCTTAAGGCTGCTACACACCCCTTCAAGTACAAGCTAGTGGTCATAATTGACCAGATAGGCGGGATATAAATAAAATAAAATAAAATAATTAATTAATGTACCGAATCTCACAGACATGCTTCCCAGTTCTGCCTGAAAGCTGGCATACAGAAAGACCCCTGTAGCCACAGGGGGATGTGTTCCATGACCCACCCCACCTCCCGTGGATACTGAAAAATGTGGATTATAGCAAACGCTATTACAATAGCAAACACTGTACAAAGCATGCTCTCTGGCTCCCTTTAGTCCCCAGTTCTGGCCACTTCATTTTTAGAAAAAAAAAATTTTCCAGGAGTTTTTTTTTGAATAAGATTTTTTAAATATTTTCAGACCATGGGTAAGTGAATCCGTGAATACTGATCCTGTGGATACCGGGGTCCTACTAGATTTGGGATGCCTCCAGCCCCCATGATGATTTACGGCCAGGAGAGTCTCCAGAACAAAGAAACTTACCTGGGGAAACGGCTCAGCTGAAGCCAGGAGGACATTCTCAGGCTTGAGGTCACAGTGGACGATGTTCTTGAAATGCAGATGTCTTAAGGCGACTAGGATCTGGCCACGGAGACACCAATAAAAAGAAAGTGAAGGAGTGGAAAGGTGGGGGGGGGAAGTCCACGAAAGCCCACGTTACCAAAATCGCTGCCATTCTTTGGGATGAATCTGTGTGTGATCCGAGCTACAGTTTTTTCCAGGGATCAAAATATGACCTTAAATAATGCATCGAAATAAGCAGGAAATCACACGTGGGGGAGTTTACTGGGGAGAGATGTCTTTTTCACTGGAGAGACACCAAGTCAGAATGGAGGGAAATGGGCCCCGAATCCTCCTCGCTCAGCAATGACACTCCTCTCAGGGAGGTGACCTGAGTCCCCCCACTTTGGGGGGGGTTCCTTCAAGACTTCACAGAACTTGGAAACCCAGGTAGGGTGGCCTTAAGTCAGATTCCAACTTGACAGCCCATAACATGAACACAGGGAATATAGACCGTAAAAGCAGCTTCTTAAAGTTTGCCAGCACAAGTTCAGCAGCCCTGAAAGAGGAAACATTCTCTTTTTCTTAAGGCAGCCCATCCTATCCATAGCCTGTCGCCAGTATCCTCCGTCTTCTTGTATTGCTGCAAATTTGTACAGAGAGGCTGAAATCCAGGAGCAAGAGGAAACTAGAGTAGGCCCACTGAATCAGTGGGGAGGTGGTAAACCCACACCTACACAAATGCCACTGATTCAATGAGCCTAGGCTAGTTGCCGTGTACTACTGGATGACGGTGAGAGAAGAGTCTGGAGTTGGTCTCCGATGCCACCTCGTGGGGGCTGGCTGAGCTGCACGCTTCTCCCCCCCCCCGGCTTTCCCAGGATTGGGACCCGCGCCGAGTGGAAGAGGAGGTCTTTTTTTACCTGTGTGATAAGAAACTTGGTCAGCCGTTCAGGAAGCCGCCCCTTCTCGGAGGACAGGATCATTTCCAGCATGTCCCCGTGGAGCTTCTCCATCACCACGAAAACTTTCTCGGGCGTCTCAAACATGCACTCTAGGTTCACGATCCCAGGGTGTCTCAAACTCTACAGCAAAGGCAGAAAAAGCAGGGGCTAAACCACCGAGGCAAGGGTGAGCATTACACAGAGGGTGGACTGTAATACTGTAGCGTCCAAGGCCCTCGGACCCTCCCCAAGCCACTCTTTTCTCCTTATTGGTGGGCCACATCATCATCATCATCTTAGAACTGCACAGCTGGAAGAAATCCTATGGATCGGGTCCAGCCCCTGTCCAAGAGGCACCACGGAGGAATTGAACTCTCAACCTCGGCCTCCACAGCCAGAGACTGAAATCGTTCAAAGCAAAAGGTGAGAACATCCGACACGCTAGCCCTTCTCTCTTTGTTAGTCCAAAGTCTGAACTCCAGGACAACTAACACTACCAGGGAGCGATTATTCCAGATTTATGAACCCAACAAGAGGATCAACAAGGTTGCCGGAGTTATTATTCCAGAGCGAGTCACCTGAAGTTTAAGGGTGAGATCTCATACAACCTGACCTCCCTGCTTGTACAGAGTGTGCGTGTGCAAATCCAGTTGTGTACACACACACACACACACACCTACCTCCAAACAAGAAAGAAAGCAAAGCAAGAGAGACAAAAAGAAAGAAAGAAAAATGTTTTGGCAACAAATGGAAGGAGCAGTGCTTCTCCTTGACCAAAAGAAAGAAAGAAAAGAAAAATGTTTTGCCAACAAATGGAAGGAGCAGTGCTTCTCCTTTTAAAACAGTTTTTTGTTTTGTTTTATTTTGTTTTTACTTCCCACCTCATCCCACAAGGGGTTATGAGAACAGCCATAGCTCTCTGGTCACCTCACAATTCATCTTGTTTTTACTTCCCACCTCATCCCGCAAGGGGTTATGAGAACAGCCGTAGCTCTCTGGTCACCTCACAATTCATCTTTGATCACAAAGCCACCCAGAGTAGATTCGGTAAAAGCCGAAAAATAAATAAAATAAGTATGGTCCATGTTGAGTCCAGAGTGCATACAATTAACTCCTGGACTGGGAGGGGAAAGACGGGGTTATGAAGGAATTCCCACCTCATCCCGCAAGGGGTTATGAGAACAGCCGTAGCTCTCTGGTCACCTCACAATTCATCTTTGATCACAAAGCCACCCAGAGTAGATTCGGTAAAAGCCGAAAAATAAATAAAATAAGTATGGTCCATGTTGAGTCCAGAGTGCATACAATTAACTCCTGGACTGGGAGGGGAAAGACGGGGTTATGAAGGAATCTTTCCACAGTATGTGGGGAGGCCGGTCAGCCGAAGAGGGCCAAGCTCAGCTCACCTGCAAGATGGCCACCTCGTTGCGCAGCTGGCTTTCTTGCTTGGTGGGGAACCGGAGCTTGTCAATCACCTTCACGGCCACATCGCGGCCTGTCTTCCGATGTTTCCCTGTCGGTGTAATCGGGAAGACAGCTTCTAAGCGAGGAGCTGGTGTTTCCCTCAGAGAGGTGTGGCCTCCCAACCTGCCTTACACGCCATCCTGAACCCAGATCTCCTGCACTGTTGTTCAGCTTGTTAACTATTGAACCACTTAATGCATGACTCTGCAGTGAATTCTCCATAACAGGAACGGTGTTTGTAAGGTACTCATGTGCAGTGACTTAGAAATGCAGAGCTGGGAAGGGACCCTCTGGATCATCCAGTTCAGCCCCTGTCAGGGAAGCACCGAAGGGGGAATCGAACTCCCAGCTGCTGGCTCCACAGCCAGACAGCTAAACCCCTCTGCTAGCTTGGAGAAAACGAGCAGACCCTTGGCCTTCGTGTACCTCCATAGACAACACCAAACTGCCCGGAGCCCAAGACTTCATCTGGGAAGATCTGGTAAACGGTGGCAATATCCTGCAATAAGACAAAAGGGTCATGCTTTTAAGTAACTTTGCAACCTTAAGTAGGAGAATCAGACCAAGCTGAAGGATTGAGAGGGTGGGAGCAATAAAAGGGGGAAGCCAAGGGGTGGAAGAGCAACTCTAAGGCTTCTCATACCCACCACATTTTCCTGGATTTGGCTGTTGGACACTGAGATTCTCAATGAATCTTGTCCTGGAGAGAAGAAGGGAAAGGTCAGAATTTAACCCACCGCCTATGATCGCCAAGACGTCCACCAGATCACTGGCCCCTAAGAAAGCCACAGGGGCTCATGGAATGAAGTGTATTGTATCCCTGCAAAAACCAAACCACCAGGAGGTGGCAGAGTAACACCCCATCAGCTCACTACAGGTCAGCGTTGTGCAAGGAGCGTGCTCAGAATGGAGGACTGTAACGGAGCAGGGCTGTCGCTACAGGGCATGAGCGGCACCTGTCAATGTGTAACAAAGAAGGCACCAGGTTCCGGGAAGCAGTGTTGCAAATGAAGGTCATAAACATGTGCTGGATCCTAGACCAATGGTCCTCAAGCAGTGGTACATGGGGCACATGGTATTCATAAAATTTACTCTCGCATAATACCAACGATGTCCAACACGTGTGACTTGCCATCTCCACTGACTGCCATGGTTATCCATCTGTGACCTTTTTGCATGCTAGATTCTGGACACTTGGTTTCTCTCCTAGTCTCTTGTTCCTCCTGTCTACCGACTGGCTGGTAATTTATTAATATAATTGCAGAATAACAGATACCATAAAAATGACCTTCTTGGGAAAAAAGGGAGCTTTTGTTTTCTGTCTTGGTGGAACCCAGGTTCTTTGCAAGAGTGGTTGTTAGGACGTAGAGTATGGACGGTTGAGAACTAATGTCTTAAAAGCAAACGACCAAGAGGTGGCAATGTCTTTAAAAGGCTCTTTTTTGGCTTCTTTTTAAGAAGCAAGGTGGGGAAAAATATTTGTATGTATGTATGTATGTATGTATGTATGTATGTATGTATGTATGTATGTATGTATGTATGTATGTATGTATGTATGTATGTATGTATGTATGTATGGATGGATGGATGGATGGATGGCCACTGACTGCCATGGTTATCCATATGTGACCTTTTTGCATGCTAGATTCTGGACACTTGGAAGGAAGGAAGGAAGGAAGGAAGGAAGGAAGGAAGGAATCCTAATTTATAAATGCTAAATTATTATTGTTGCATTTAGTAGAGCAGGTTAATTGATACATCTGGAGAATAAGTGTTGAAAACTATGTTTTTGGTATTTTAATGTTAATTTAAAAGCAATAGCTTCTTAAGATGAGACATGTTTTTCCTCTTATCAGTGTCAATGTTAACAAGTTAAGTCAGTTGCACGTTATTTTCAAGCTTGGTGCCGAGGCAATTTCTCATCTGATCCCTAAGAGGTCAGTGTAGAGCAAGAAAGAGGCTCAAAAGAAAATCCTTGGATTCATGGGATCAGGATGATGGTAAGAGAGCTCCAAGTGTGTGTGTGTGTGTGTGTGTGTGCGTGCGTGTGAGTGTGCACATATTGAACACTCACTGTGAGGTTCCTGGCCCTGAGAAGTTGAAGCCCCTTGAAGGACCACAGGCATGAGGGCCTGGCGGATGGCCATCTCCCACGCCCTGGCGTTCTCCACGCTGTCTCCGCCATGCTGGGGGTTGTTGGTGATGCTGTTTTCTCCCACAAAGTAGGTGGCATTGGCAGTCACGATTTCAAAGCAGTGAGGGTTGGCTCCTGGCGGCATCAGGGAAAAGTCCTGCGCCGGCTCCACCACCAAGATCTCCGACAAGGGTATCTCCTACAGGAAGGGCAGAGAAGGCATTAACATGAGCTGCCCCGGCTGGTCTTCTCAAAGCATCTCTTGCTTAGCCAGGGCAGAGAAAGGAAGCATGGCTTTCTGAAGAAACTACAACTCCCATGGTCCAATGGCTATGCTGGCTGAGGGAATGTGGTGGGAAAAAAAGGCAATGCACCCCATCTCCAAGCTGGTACTGCACATGTTTCTTGTTTTCCTGTAGCAACCTTCACCTGTCCTCGGACGCATCTCTCAGAATCCCAAGAACAGAGGAGATGCTGTTTCTTTTGGGGTTGTATGTGTATTTTTCCCCAAAGTTAACCTGCAAGTTTCTATCCCTCAAGGCTGGAAAGAAAGGCTGGGAAACATACAGACAGCACTTGTTGAAATCTCAAAAGCCAGTTTAGGTAACAGGAAACTTCCAGAGATTCTTAGGACACACATGGCTTCTTTCCTTGGGCAAGACAGGAAACTAAATTCACCCATGAGGACAACAACGGTGAAAAACAAGGGTGTTTGCACCAACGCTCAGGGATCCAGCGCAGTGGGAAGGCACGGTAGGTGGGCGGGAGAGTAACACCGAAGTCCTGGCAACCTTACAAGGGAAAGAACCCTACGAGTCCAGGGGCTGTTTTGCACCTCACCGGATGCTCTGCATGCACATCCGCCCAGATCCTGCTAGAGCAGGGGTTCCCACCCTAGGGTCCCCAGATGTCCTTGGACTACAACTCCCAGAATTCCTTGCCCACCAGCAGCTCTGGCCAGGATTTCAATCCAGCTGCAACTGGAGAGCATCTGGGGACCCCTGGTTGGGAAACCCTGTCCTACAGAAATGGGGTGTTCTTTATAAACTAGTTAGCGGACAGCAGCATCCCGTTTTTAGAAGTTAATTTCATTTTGGCAATCCAAAAACCAACCAGGGAGAAGTTCTAGAGTTACAGAAACAGCATCACGAAGGGGGGCAGAGTTCTCTCTCTCTCTCTCTCTCTCTCTCTCTCAAGACATGGTATCAGGAAAACAGTCAAATATTGTCAGCACTGGCAGCAAACAGGGTCTGAGGGTGAAATTGTCCATCACCAATAATACATGGAGAATCTTGTAGTAGCGGCTGCTGGTGTTGTTCTGAAACAGGGTCAGGCACTTGCTGTCCAGCCTCCAGTAATGGCGTTTCCGCTGCCCAACGGAAGACAAACAGGGGTTTTTAGGGTCAGGGGGTTTACAGGACTATGGTCTTCCATCCAGGAAGGTGGGCGCTCTGGATGCAGTGGGGGAATCGAACGCCCAACCTCTGGCTCCACGGCTTAATACCTTGACCCCTGAGCTGCCCAGCCAGCTAATAAGAGGCGAAGAACAGCCTAAATCACTGCTCCCTACAGCTGCTATGGGATGTGACAGATCATTTCATAATAGTTTTAAGAAAGAAATTACAGCAAGGGGTAACTGGAGTAGATGCACCCCCCTCTAAAGTCTGCATGCCACCTCCAGTCCACTGGAAATTGACAGCCTTTGGTTTAAACTGTTGACAAAAGCACCGCAACTCTTGGAAGTCATTTGGGTGAACGAACCACCAACTGTTCAGCAAAAAATGAGAAAAGGCCGTGAGGTCCTTACGTCACACAGATGCAAGAGCAGGTGATGCCTTTATTAAATAATAATCATGTGCCCTCAAGGTGATTTTGACTTATGGCCACCCTTTTTTCCAGGTAGAGAAACTGCCTTTGGTTTAAACTGTTGACAAAAGCACCATAACTCTTGGAGGTTGCAGAGACTGCTCAGAAGTGGTGGACCATCCCCTTCTTCCGGGGGTGCCCTGGGACTGTGGGCAGCTTGCCCAAGGCCACCCAGGCACAGCGGGGAATCGAACTCCCAACCTCTGGCTCCACAGTCAGATACGGTGACCACTGAGCTACCCAGCCAGCTCCACACAAATCTATACACCTCTTGCTTTGAGCTACAGGAGGGCGAGAGAGCTAGGCAGGCATCTCAGAAAGACACCAGGGAGGGTCCATTCTTCCTTCCCCATTTTGGGGCCTCAGCAAAAGGGCAAATAGAATTCAAGAGATCTCTGCCCCAATGATCTTACACACTCTCTGAGTCTAGTTGGAAAAAGCCGCAACACTGAAGGTGAACGGATCTGCACCGCTGGTGCTATTAAATGCAAACACATCTACAGCCACAGCTTCATCGAATCTCCTTCCAAAGCAGCCCAGGGCTCCCCGCCACCCCCCCAGCCCACCTCCCCTGCTCACCAGGGTGTCCTTGTTGCTGAAGTGGACCAGCCAGCCTTCCTTCAGCACCGTGCTTGACTTGCGGGTCGTCTGCCGGATCGACTGCACGACACGCATGAGAGGGATATAGCCCACGGAGCTGGAAGGGACACCGAGAGAGGAGGGGCAGCTGAGCCGTATATCAGGCAAAGTGAAACAAGACAAAGGAGGAAGAAGCCAACCCAGAGCCGAGAAAAATTCCTCCTGGGAACTACAACTCCCATAATCTTTCCTTCCACTGAAAAACTGAGCTGCAGGAGCAACGGACTGTTAAGCAACACTCCAACCTCTGTAAGGGAAGCGAAAGGTCCAATCTGACCGTGCAAGAAAAACTTCACACACGGCTCAGGGACGGAACGGGGAAGGTTCTGTTTCTGAGGGGCCTCTTCTCACCCCTGGGCCTTGCTGATGTCATCAGTGTCCTCACTCATCCGCAACTCGCTCTCCGAATGGGACCCCGGGACAATGCCGGAGTCGTCCGATTCATCCATGAGTGAGTTCTTCTCAGACTCACTGAGGTCACTGGCGTCTTCCATCTGCACATCTGAGGAGAGCAGGAGGGGAACATGTTGAGTTCGGCCCAGAAATATCCAGGATAAAGATCATAGATCTTCCTGAGTGGCCTTGGGTGGGTCATTTCCTCTCATCCTCTGACCAACTCTGCAGGGTCGTTGTGAGAATAAAAGGGGGGAGAAGGAGAGTCGTCTATACTGCTTGGAGCACCTCAGGATCTTGCCCCATGACTCCCTGCAAGGAAGAAGGGGGTGCTCACTCACCTCCACCATTAAAGAGTGTCTCTCCAAGGCAGTCATTGGGCACCCGAGTTGCGCAACGTTTGTGGCAGTTGAATTTGCAATCTGGAAAGAGTTAAAGGACCGGAAGCAACCGGGTTAAAGTTCCACCTGGCAGGTACTCACGGGGCCTCCCAATTACTTGTCATCTTTCTCCCCCCCCAATCCACTGCTCCTCCACACCTGGTCTAGGAGTTAGACCTTGGGTCTCCAGATGTTCTTGGATGAAAACTCCGGCCTTCAGCACTAACTGTGCAGGCCAAGATTTCTGGGAGTTGTAGTCCAAGAACGTCTGTGGAACCAAGGTTGGGAAGCACTGAGTTAGAAGGAGGAGCAGCAGGAGAACTGGATTCAAATCCTCCCTCGGCTGTGAAGCTCATTGGGTTCCACCTTGGGCTGAGCTACTTCAAAGAGCTGTTGTGATGACAAGTGGGAAGGATGGGAGTTATCTCTGCCACCCTGGTCACCAGAGGACAAGCGTGATAGAAATGTATATAACTGTTCAATACGTAAGAATAAAAACTTTGGCCAGGAGGGACTCGCAATGCCACAAGATGGCCAGCAGGTGGAGCCCTGTGACAAGAAAGGGATATCCCAACACTTTGCCAATCAGGGGCTCCTCATGTTTGTAGACTACAACTCCCAGGATCCCTCACCAATGGCTGAGCTAGCCAGTGTTTCCTGGGAGGTTTACATTCAGGAACATTTGGGGCCCAAAGTCTGGGAAGCAGTGGGGCATTCCCTCTGGTCCACCCCACTTGTCCACGTGGAGAGCAACCCAAAAGAGATGGTAAAGGAAAAAGGCCATTAGTTACAATGTTCAGGAACATTTGGGGCCCTAAGTCTGGGAAGCAGTGAGGCATTCCCTCTGGTCCACCCCACTCGTCCACGTGGAGCAGGAGCAACCCAAAAGAAATGGTAAAGGAAAAAGGCCATTAGTTACAAGGTATCAGAAAAGTTATCTGCTGCTAGTTTATTTCTCAATTACGGAGGTCTCACAAAGTTACAAAACAAAAGTAACGTATCAAGGAGGAACAAGGTTACTTTACTGGAGTAACAGACACTGTCTTCTAGTCCCTTTTGAAGAGCTTCTGAAGGCAAATGTTTGAATTTTCGGATTTCGTACTCTTCTGAATCTTAAGTTCGCTTTTCAGAAAAACAGCAACACCACAATACAAGGTAATGTTGTGTGCTGTGCTGTCAGGTTCCCTCTGGCTTAGGGTGACCCCATGAACGGGCAGTCTCCATCTCGTCATGCCCTGAGCTGCCCCGTGCGGATTGCAAGCCCCATCGTCCCCTGCCCCGCTCACCTTTGCACTGGAGCCCCTGGCGGAAGAGACCCTTGAGGAGCTTCTTGCAGTACTGGCAGACGGTGGGGCGGGTGTAGGAGTGGATCAGGAAAGTGTGGGGCACTTTGACCTTGGACAGGAAGAGCTTGTCCAGTTCAATGGGGCGGCCGATGTACGTGGAGGAGGCCAGGCGCCGGGGGAAGGAGTCCGCGGAGCTTCGGCTCTGGTTGGTGGGGAGAATGAGGGCCTGGAGGAAAGGAAGGTGGAGGAAGAGTCAGCTGGATGATTGCAAACCTTTCACACTTGCCCTGCAGTGAAGTCCCCTCATCCGTGGGGGATCGGTTCCAAAGCCCTGCACGGATACTGAAAAAGGCAAAATATAGCGCTATACATAGCATGGTCTCTGGTTCCCTCTAGTGGCCAGTTCCGGTAACTTTATCTTTAGAAATAGATGTTTCTAGGATTTTCTTTTCACATTTTTAATATTTTCAAGCCGTGGATAAGTAAATCAGCAGATACTGATCCTGTGGATATGGGGGTCCTACTGTGTTATCAAGCCTTCGCTGCCCTACCTCACAAGGAAGCTGTAAGCATTACTAGAGCCTTGGAAAAGGGACAGGTGACACGCCTCAAAATTCCCAGCTACCACCAGCTAGCTTTGCAGTAAGTAGAGGTGGAAGGCTTTTAAAGTTTCTAGTCCTTACTGCTGGCTCTGGCCAGAAAACCAGCAGGGCCGAGCCATTCCCATTCAGGAGAGAGGGAAAGAAAGAGAGAAATTGACTCACCAGATCATCTGTTGTCGAGGGCAAGGAATCGGTGGTCGAGAGACGCAGTGACTGGGAATTAGCTAACGAGGTGGACGAGAGGCGCCGCTTCCGGGCCCCACTGCAGTTGTTGGGGATGCTGAAGGCGCAGCGTTTGTGATAGTTCAGGCCACAGCCTAGACATGGTGGGGGGGAGAGAGAATAGCCTTGGCTTTAGCCGTTTGGTTTGGCAGCCCCCCAGGAATAAAAAAATGCACCCCTTCCCCCAGTCCCCCACGGAAGCACCACAAAGCAGGCATAAACTGGAAAGACCATTTCTCTTGAAGGGATCCGGGGAAGTGTGGCGGGGCAGGGGGGGAGAGAGAGGCTCAGCAGGAGAGCTCACACGCCCTCGATTAAGCATTAAACTTGCCACGGACGGACCTAAAAACCAAGCGGTTAATCTCATGCCAGGCCCTGAGGCTGGGACAGGACGAGGAGACCATGCCACCCCACGGTCGCCTGGCGTTGAAGGTCAACAACACAGAGGGAGAGGCCCCAGAAGGCATGAGGCTTTTGCTGTCCTGCTTCAGGGGTGCTGGGGCACTTGTAGGGTTGTTGCCCACAAGCCAGCGGGCGAGGGGGGGGTTTCCAGCGGTCCCCAGAGCAGAACCCGGACAGGCTAATGGCCTCGGGCAGCGACTCCCCATTGTCACGCAATGCTTTGTGTGTCTGTTTGGGGGCTGAAGGGGGGAGCATTCCATTCTACGGGATGCCCGTCTAAACCAGGGTGGGCAAAGCACGGCTCGTGGCTGTAGGTCACCCCCCCCAAGAGCCTTTAAACATCCCCCTCCCTCAATCACTCAAGACCTCCAACATGGCAGAGATGTGGGGAAAAGCAAAAAGAAAGAAAGAGAGAAAAATGTCCCTCTTTGCAAATGGAGATCTCCAGCCACTCCCAGTGGCGAAAGGTGCCCGTCTTTTTCTCTGCCGATTAAAAGGCCCCCCCATCCAGAGGGCGGTGGCAGGATCCTTACCATCACACTTCAGGCCCTGGCGGACCAAGCCGAAGAGCATCTCGCCACAGTGGTCGCAGAAAGCGGGCGCCCGGTAGGAATGCACGTTGAGGGCGTGCGGCCGGATCTGGAAGTCTTCGAAGGTGGCTGACGCTGGGGGAGAAAAACCCAGTTGGGTGGGCAGGCGGGCGTGTCATCCAACGGGCCCTTGGCTCAGCAGGAAAAGGCTAAGTTGGGGGGGGCAGCCTTTCCCACCCTCGCCCCCTCCGGGAAAGGGCTGCGCGGCTCAGAGCCGATGGACGTTGTCGTTTGGGCCTTTCCCACCCTCGCCTCCTCCGGGAAAGGGCTGCGCAGCTCAGAGCCGATGGACGTTGTCGTTTGGGAGTTGCAGTCCGCCATACTGGAAAGGGGCCTCAGTTGCAGGCTGGGAATCTCAGAGGGCAGAGACCCCCAAGAACAGGTTAGGTGCCCCCGTGGGAGATCGCTGAAGTACCAAACTCATAACCTTGGAAAGTATGTACTCCAACGACGATTAGAGCAGTGGTTCTCCACCTTGGGTCACCCAGATGTTCTTGGCCAGCAATTCCCAGAAGCCTTCACCACCAGCTGTACAGGCTGGGGCTTCTGGGAGCTGCAGTCCAAGAACAGCTGGGTGAGCCAAGGCTGGGAACCACGGCTCTAGTCTACCTCCCACTAAGGAAGGACACGGTGTGCTAGAACACCCCGGTGCGCGGCCACCCACCACCCACTGATTTTCCAATCATGGAAAATGGTTCTCCTCCCCCGTCTCTCTCACTCTCCTCTCCTCCAGGTCAAAGCTATCCAACTCCCTTGAACATGACACGCAGGATTGGGTTTCCAGACCCTTTGTCCTCTTAGCTGCAATCTTCGGGATGCATCCTGGCCCGTCTGTCTCTTCCTGAAACTGGGGTGCCAGACTTGGACAGAATCTTCCATGTGAGGTCTGACCAAAGCACATTGGAGTGGTTCTGTTGCTTCCCTTTATCTGGACATCAAACATCTGAGGATGGAGCCTAAAATGGCGTTAGATTGTTTTGGTGCTGCATCACACCGCTGGCTTATGTTTAGTGGAGTTAATTCCTATCTCTTTTAATTAGTTAACCCAGAGGCAAAACTTGCTCCATACACATGCAGGAGCTAATTCAATGTCTAAGGACATTGGGCTACTGTCACATACAGCCTTGAGAGCCTCACCATATCCCAGGTAGCCTATATCATGAGGATACAGGTGAGGATCAGAGGAGGGCCAGAGGGGAATCAAGGAAGGTAGAATCAGAATCAAGAGGGGAAATCAAGTAGTCTGCTTGAGAGGTTCACCGGGCTATGGAAATCATAAAGAAAATCACAGTGATGGGGCAACTGACTACAATGCCTAGTTCTCCCATGGGGGGGTACAGTTTGGACAGCTATGAATAAAAATGTCCAGATCCAGGCCAATGGTATAGATTAGGTGAGGGAGGGGAGTGTCTCTCTGTGCTTTAGATCGGCACGTGTAACAATCTCTTCCCAACTGAAAGCCAACTGAACCCCCTCACACACACCCCCAGGGTCTCCTTCCTTTTTGAGAAGCCCTGGATCTCAACTGAGTCCACGGCGGGAGAGGGAGAGGGGGCCGGGGAGGCCAAGGAAGTCCAGCAAAAACTGCCACGACCTGCCTTAGCCATCTTTTCCTCCCCTCCTCGGCGCCCGTACCAAAAACCCACATCCTGCCTCCGTTGCCAAAGCATCCGGTTTGAAAACACCACCTGCCACTTCGAGAGACGAGAAGAACTAGGCCAGGGCACAAGAAGGGAGGGAAAGGTACCGATCGGAGGAAGGTGGAAAAGTTAACCTTGGGGACTACAAGCTACTTGATGGGTTGGGGGGGAGGGGCTCAGGGATTTCTCTTCTCCAGAGCCCGCCTTCTAAAAATCTGGGAAGAGAGCCCTGTCCTACCCCCGCCAGGCCCCTTGCTTTCTCCTCGGCTTACCTGAAAGCACCACCTCCACCAGGTCCCCTTCTTGGATGTTCGAGGCAGCCCGGACCAGCTGGAGGATGTTGGCCGAAGACGGGTCATGTTTGAAGAGCAGGATCTTGTCGTAAAGGCCGTAGAAACCACACTCGGGGAACTGGGAAAGAACGAGACGGATGTGGGTGGACAGTGAGCAGACCCCACACAAGGACCAAGAAGGACCCCTCTGTGCCAGAGTAGAGCGCATCCGATCTGGTCTGGTTGGGCAGCCAAGCAGGGCTCTGGCTGGGTTAGTCCCTGGAGGGGAGACGGCCTGGAATGTAGAGGGTTAAGGTTAGGAAAGGATTCTGCCCGGAGCTCTGGGGAGCCCAGACCGAGCGGACAAGACTGGGTGGGATCAAAGAAGGTCTGACCCAGGTGGTGGGAGGTGGGCACCTACGCCCTTTGGCTCTGCTGAACGTCCTGGGCTTCATGTTGGAATGGACTACATCTCCCAGCACGATCAGGCTCCGGGGTGGATGCTAGGCCATGTAGTCCCAAAATGTAACCTTCTCGATCTTATAAGCATCTCTCTGTGTGTCTTGGTGTGGGCAGATACGGTGGGGAAGGGGGGAGAGAAGCAAAGGTATGTTTTGCAGAAGTTCAAAGGAAGAAGGTTCAAATTTCAGGGCATTTTGATGGAGAGGAAAAGCAGCCTTCTCTACCTGCGCAGGTGCCACAAGGGACCAAGAGTCGTGCAGGGTTTTATTTGGGGCAAATTTTCATGAAAGCCTGGGCCAAACAAGACTTGAAGGTGGGGGGGGGGCAACCAACACGGTCCTTTGCTAACATCTCTTTCACGCCCTCCTGAGCCCATTTGCTGCTATGCAAATTCAAGCGCTTATTTTTAGCTCCAAGAAGGCCTCTATCGGAGGCATTCCAGCTGATCTCTGCCTTCCTTCCTTCCTTTCTGCCGACAGAGAGGCCTGTGTGGCCACAGGGTGGCAAGAGAAGCCGGTCCCCTCCCCAGGAAAAAGGAGCAGGCTCAGGCACCCCTGTGGGCTTGTCCATGTGGCCTTAGCTCAGAGGCACAGACGATGCTTGGCCTTCAGAAAGTTCAACCACCCCCAGCATCTCAAGGTGGGCTCGGCGAAAACACTTGCTGAAAACCCCGGCCTGAGTTTAACCTTCTGGGTTAAATGGCCGAAGGTCTCACTCTCTGCGTAAGGCGGCTTCTGATGAGTTTACGAAACTCGGAACAAAGTTTTCGTTTCTGAAATCTAGACGGCAAGCTCTTTGGGGCAGAGAGCCCATCTAGAGAGATGTAGTCTAGACGCTGGGGACAAGCAACAGGATGAGAGGGCATCCAGGAGAGGGAGAAGGTTTGCTAGATCCTCTGGTTGATGCACAGGGCAGAGAACGAGGGCGCCGTGTTTTGGCCGCCGACTTGATGATGTGGGTCTTGTTCTGCGTACCCTCAGCCTGTCTCTCCAGGTTTAATCCAAGAGTTTTCAAGAGTTCGGAAAGGCCAACTCGAGATACTTTGCTGCCTGACACAAATGTTTTACACACACACAGTCTGCTAACGGACTTAAACCTTCCAGAAAGAAAATCCACAGACACCTCTGTTCATAATAAAAGAATAAGAAAGTAAATCGCGCCTTTCATGAGACAGAAAACCGGTTGGTTGCTTGGTGCAACTTTTCTCGCTCTGCCTCATGGTAGGGCCAGTTCCAGAGTCCAGGAAAGTTGGCACAACTCTGCCCGTCCTACCTACCTCGCAGGGTTATTGCGCAGATAGAGTGGATCCAAGGAGAACTCGCCCCCCCCGCTTTGAACTCGCCAGAAGAAAGGCCATCGTGGAGAAATGATGCCACCAACAAACAGGCACCACCAGGCCCCCACCAACGGCCACGCTGCCTTCTTGAGGCGGGAGATGTGAAAAGACACCTCTCCGTTCTGCCACTCGGCACCTGGTGAGGCAGGAGTTAACTTCTCCTGGCGAGGTAGGAGTTAACTTCTCGGTTACACAGGCCTCTTTGCCTCCACCTCTGCCCAGCAGTGTGTTCCCCGAAGGGCAGGAAGCATCATAATAGCAGGTCATCAACTCCTGGAGTTCTGCGAGGCCAGGAAAAAGAAAAAGAGAAAAAAAGGACCGAGCCGCCCGCCCGGGTGACTCACCCACCCAACCGGAGGCCAAGAGAGCCAGGTGTTCAAAACTCCAGACCGGAACAGGAGCTGGGCAAAGTGGCCGAGTGACAGGAGGGCAGCCTGGTCCTCATCCTGGCCAGCTTCCGAAGCCACTTCCCCGGGCGGCTCAGCTCACCCCTGAATAGGCCTCCTTTGCCACTGACAATCATTCCTCAGCCCCTCAGAGCTTCCCATCTAAGTTTCAGCCCTGGGTGTTCCCATCATCCCCAGGGGAAAGAAGACCTGCCCCCCCATCCCGTAGCCTTCTCTGACAGATCTGCCCTCCAGAGGATCTGGACTACAATTCCTAGTATCCCCAGCCCCAGTCGTTCTTCTCTGGCACATGGCTGTTCCGCAGGACAATGCCGGGGCTTCTCGGTGGTGGCCCCTAAAACTCAGGACGTTCTCGACAGAAACCATGCCCAGCATTAAATTATTGTGGAAAGTCCTTATTTACAGAAGCTTTAAATGCCTGCTGAAAACATATTTGTTTACCTTCAAAAATCGCTTTAAACAGGTGCAATTTACTTCAAACATGCATTCAGATCTTTCAGATCCAAGGGAATATGACCACTAGGAAGACGCAAATAAAACTGCCAGGATGATGGGTGCCGGAGTCCTGCACGCACCAACGGCTCCACATCGGGAAAGGCAGAAGGAACTGGGCTTAGCATCATTTTAGCTTTTGCTTCCGCAAGTCTAATTGCTAGCTGTCAGTGAAAGGGTTTTGGCATGATAAAGCCACAGAGGTGGAGATAAAAGATTTTCCAGTGGCAAGAGGTACCCTCGACTCCTCCCATAAGAAGCACAAGCAGAATAAATGATAACAAAAAGCCGAAGGTGGCAGAGGAAACCGCCCAAAAGATGCAGTGGAAAATAATTTTTTCAAACTACCTCTGAAAAGTCTGTATAATCCGGTGTTTGGATTTCTCATGTGGTGTTTATGGTTGTTGCTTTAAAAACAGAAGTTACAAAAGTTCTTTCCTGAGGTTACCAGGGAAACTTTTTTAATTTCTGCATTTTAAAGAGCCATTTGGTTATCATCTGAACCATTCAGGGAGAAATGAACAGAAACTGCTCAGGTGGAAGGAATGGACAGCCTTTGGCAGTGGGAAAAGAACAGGTAAATGAAGGGCATTATTGGCCTATCTGTGTGTGTATATAACTGAATGGTTTACCTGGACTGCTAAAACTCCCCACAGAGGTTTCCAACTAGCTTCCTTTTGCTGGCCTGTAAAGGATGTGACCGAGGGCGGTTTCATCCTGGAGACGTTCCCAAGCATTATCGCTCAGCTCCTCAGAAGGAGAGACATTTCCTTTTCCTGCCCAGCAAAAAGCAAGAGGGGGGGGAGAAACGCAGGGTCTCGGCCCGCTGCTATTTCCG